GAGTCGTATTTCCAGTGCTTGAAATCATATTCAGATCCTGACTTGAGCATTGAGTAGAGTTCTGGAATACGTAAAAATAAGTTATGAAAACCGCTAGCTGCCAGTTGCTAAAAAGACAAAATTAAAAAAGAAAAGTTACATTTTGGAAGATCAGACATCACACTGGAATTCGCTCTGGACCTTTTGGAGGGAAAAGTGTCGTTTTTATTTTGACTTTCAATTATTTTGTGAAATCTACTTTAAAGTGGAGTAGGATAGTGCTATTGTGCCTTAATCGAAGATTAAAACACGAAATTATACGAATCTCGAACTAAAATACCCATATCGGCACGTTTTACGGAATCCCGAGTCAATCCAAGCTAGAGGTGGGTGATAAATAACGTCACGATTAAAAAATCACAGTGATCCGCCGTCAAACAGTATCACCGTGACTCGTTCCGAAGAAACGACGTTCCAAAGTCATATAGGTGTTCCTCCGTTCCAATAGCTATCCCCGTCACTCACATCACGACATACGTATTTGATATAATGCACGATTTCGGTTCCGTGGTGACTGAGCGCGCCACTCGTCGCCAGTTCTCTTCAAATCGGACCATTTCGGCGGTGGGAGTGAGTGACATAGGATGACTGTCTTTGCTCACTCACAAGGGTCGTAGGTGCTTATTACTACTAGAAAGGGCGGATGAAAAAAAATCTGCAGCAGTTACTATAAACCTATTTATTAACAAAGTAAAATATTTTTGTATATTTGTTTTATTATAGGAAGAGTTGGTATTTTATATTTATGTATAATCTACTTTGTGTATTCTACTAGAAATATAATTACATCACACTTTATTGCTATTTGTAACAATCCAAAGATTCGCATAAAATAAGTAAGTAAGTAAGTTTTTTCACCGTGCGGTGACGGATTAGAATACAATTCACCGCCCCTCTCTTCCCGTGGGTGTCGTAAGAGGCGACTAAGGGATATTGAGCTACCAGCTGCTCCACTGGTGGTAGGGCTTGAAAACCCGGCTGGTTAGTGACCACCGTGCGCATGGTGGAAAACCCGCCAAGTGTTCGCTAGTCGGACGCGTTCCGGGATCAGTCAGCGTACAACCAGAGCCCGAGGCAACGCTGCCGCGACATTTGTGGTCTGTGGAGGCTTCCGCCGAACCAGTGCCAGGACAACTGCATTGACCCGCCGGCCAGGGAGACCCGTAGAAACGGTTGTTCCGCTGGCCGCCCGCGGTACAGTACAGGGGCCCAAGCGTGCTTAACCAGCTCGTGAGGCTGCCTCACCATACCGCGCATAATCTCGGTGTGGTTCGTCGTGCCGGTTGGTGACCGGGAGGTGGGGTCCCGGGGGGGTTCGGGGGCCCTTCCGTCCGGCGGATCAGCGCAACTTGTCTGTAGGCAAGTCTCTGGGGAAGCAGGCCCCGCGATTTCACCGCTTGAGTCGCGGCACTGTTTTCTCGCTTCACGCCTCTTTTTCCCTCCAACATGTTAGCGCAAAGTACAAATTTCGGTCGTACAGCGGTGCACACCCCCACCACTAAAGCGCTCTTTAAGGTGGAGTTCACGAACATTCGAGGACTCCACAGTAACATCCACGCCGTCCACCAACATCTTGAGACAGCTCGACCAGAAATGCTGTTCCTTACAGAGACGCAAATACTCTGCCCGGCTGACAGCAGCTACTTGAATTACCCTGGCTATATGCTTGAAGAGTCCTTCAAAGCGAAAGCTGGGGTCTGCTTGTTTGTCCGGGCAGATGTTTGCTGTAGCCGTCTGCGTCATTTGGAGGACCCCTCCTTCTTTCCTCCATCCTTGGGGTACATGTTGACCTGGGCAGTCATTGCCGTGTCTACATGTGCCTCTACAGATCCCACCACGGCGACATGGAGACAACTCGTCTCATAGACCACCTTACTCGGGCGGCAGATGATGCGCAGGCGCAGTTTCCTACAGCGGAATTGGTGTTTTTAGGGGACTTCAATGCTCACCACGAGTCGTGGTTAAGTTCCTCTAAAACTGACCATGCTGGAAGAACTGCCTACACATTCGCTCTCACACACGATTTAACCCAACTGGTAAACCAGCCCACCCGGATACCAGATAGGGTTGGTGACGCGCCCTCTTTGTTGGACCTTCTGCTGACGTCTCGCCCGGCTGGATATCGGGTGGAGGTCCAAGCCCCTCTGGGCACTTCGGATCACTGCTTGATATCCACTAAAGTGGCAACGTTACTGCCACCACCACCTACTGTGGCTAAACGCCGCATTTGGCATTATGCGTCGGCAGATTGGGACGGTATGCGGGACTATTTTGCATCCGTTCCTTGGCGGCAGCGCTGTTTTAGTGAGGTGGATCCAACAGCTAGCGCGACTGCCGTTGCTGATGAGATCTTAATCGGGATGGAATACTACATCCCGCATTCGGATGTCGTCAGTAAAGGGAGGCGCAACCGCTGGTTCAACCGCGAGTGTGCTGTGGCTGTTGAGAACAAACAGACTGCATACCGCGCTTGGATCAAGGGTCGAGCTTCAGACGATCCCAATACGAACTCACTTAAAACAGCCTACAATAATGCCACCAGGTCTTGCAAAAGAGCGTACATCAGAGCGGATGCTCAGCGCGTCGCACGAGTTGGCCAAGAACTCCTGACGCATCCCACTGGTAGTCGTAGTTACTGGCGTCTGGCCAGAGCCGTTGCGTCGAACTTCTGCCAGCCCTCGCTGCCCCCGCTGAGATATTCTGACGGCAATCTAGCCCACAAGCCGCAAGATAAAGCCGACCTCTTGGCAAATCTGTTTGCGGCTAACTCCTGTCTCGACGACTGTAACGCACAGCCACCAACTCTACCTCACTGTGGCTACACGATGTCTGATATTCGTATCGGACAATGCGATGTGCGTACGCAGCTGCAGTCTCTCGACGTCCGGAAAGCTAGTGGTCCTGATGGTATCCCAGCGATTGTACTTAGGAGCTGCGCAGCTGAGTTGACCCCCGTGCTAACGCGACTGTATCGTCTGTCACTCTCTTCAGGTCGTGTGCCGGACTCTTGGAGAGAGGCTAATGTGCAACCAGTTCCCAAAAAAGGCGACCGATCAGACCCGCATAATTACCGTCCCATAGCCATTACTTCCATAATATGTAAGGTTTTAGAGCGGATAATTAACAAACAACTGACCCAATACCTAGAAGATCACTCCATAATTAATGATCGGCAGTATGGGTTTCGTCCGAAACGATCAACGGGTGACCTTCTAGCGTACTTATCGCATATTTGGGGTGAGGCTATAGGCAAACGTGGCGAGTCGTTGGCTGTTAGCCTCGATATAGCCAAAGCGTTCGATCGGGTCTGGCACAAAGCTCTTCTCTCCAAGCTCCCGGCGTACGGTTTGCCAGCCCAGTTATGCAGCTGGATTGCCGATTTCCTTCGTGAGCGGAGAATTCGCGTCGTTTCTGACGGCAGCATTTCGAGGTTCGTGAATGTGAACGCCGGCGTACCGCAGGGATCCGTCCTATCTCCCACGCTTTTCCTTCTGCATATCAATGATATGCTTCCACTTGGGAATATTCATTGTTATGCAGATGATAGCACTGTTCATGGGGGATATCACGGATTCCCCGCAGCTGGGCGCGCCGATACTGACAGAGAGCGATCTAATCTTGTCGGTGAGCTCAATAGGATATTGGACCTCATCTCTGCATGGGGATCTAGAAATCTTGTTGAGTTCAACGCCAAGAAAACACAGGTTTGCGCGTTAACAACAAAATTGTCGCCGTTCCTTCCCATGCCTTCTCTGATGAGCACAGCACTCTCACCTCAGAGCAGTTTTACCTTGCTCGGTATGGAAATCTGCTGTGATTTGAATCCAAGGAGCTACATCGAATCTGTGATCAAAACAGCCTCACGGAAACTCGGAGTCCTGAACAAGGTGCGACGTTTTTTCACGCCGGACCAGTTATGCCTGCTGTACAAGACACAGGTCCGGTCTTGCGTTGAGTATTGTTCGCACTTGTGGGACGGCTCCGCCAAGTACCTACTCGATGCCTTGGATAAATTACAGCGTCGTGCTACTCGAATTATAGGCGACGAAGAGGTCTCATCACGCCTTGAACCTCTGCAACTGCGTAGAGATGTTGCATCGCTTAGCGCCTTTTACCGCATGTACCATGGTGAGTGCTCTGAAGAGCTGTTCAACCTCATCCCCCCTTCCCCGTTCCTGCTCAGAAGCACGCGTGCTGGCCTTCGTAGTCACCGTTTCACTACCTGCCGCATTCCATCGCGTACTAAAAGGTTTGGTGGCTCCTTTCTCTGCCGCACGGTTGACAAATGGAACTCCCTTCCGGCACATGTCTTCCCTCCCTCTTATGATATGGGGTCCTTCAAACGAGGTGTGAAGAGGCATATTGTAGACAGGCAGGGTGGAGGTGGCTAGTGCAGTGAGGGTTTCATCGCTGCACTAGGTTCCTTCGCGTTTGGATACCACTTTCCACTTAACATCAGGTGGAGTGGAGTCATTTGCCTGTCATGTATAAAAAAAAAATAAAAAATAAAGTAACATACAAAATTACATTAAACACACAATCAACTTTTGAATGGATTTGAAACTTATTGCAAAGGGAGTAAAAACTTAAATCATTCTATAAAAAACTGCTATAAGTATTAGAAAGAAGCCGCTGGCTAAAAACGTATATCGTGATGTAAGTTATAGGCGCGACAAGGTCACGGAAGTAACAGTCGTAACAAAATCACAATTTTTTTGGAACGACGGTCACGGCGATAGAAATGTAACGCTATTCCCCATATCTAATCCAAGCACAGCTACAGCCCGCCTCAAAATGCCTATCCTCTTTGTGGCGGCCATATTTACAGAAACATAATTAACCTTCATGTTTGGGCTGATAGCTTTGCCAAAGCCTTAATAAATTTAAAAAAAAATCACACTACGAACAAAACCTATCAAAAATGGTGATACCACTTGACCTATGTCTCCAATTCCTGTGCCGGACATTCGTGTGTTGAGCATTCTTGTGTCGTACATTACGTTGTTGTACATTGATGGCTCCTTGTGAAAAAAAATATCAGTATTCAAAAGAATTAGAATGTCGGCAAAAATATTTGCGTTTAGACCGTCGTCTAAAAGACTTCGGTTCTCGCAAGTTGTCTATAGAAACAAATCAAGTTTAGGCCTTTGGGTATGATTTACATATTGAGTACAATTATATTAACACTTTTTAGGTGCCTACAAACTCAACGAAAGACTTAACCTATTTTCATTAATTCGTACTTCTTTTAGATCTGTTACCAAAATTTACTTACCCCAAGTCTCACATCTGTTAGCAGCCGTCTTGTTTTTTGGCTGTTATAGCCAAAAAACAAGAAAACTGATTTTTTATGAAATGCTATTACTATTTATTTTCTTTGTAAATGTATTACTGCCCAAATTCACTTATTTCTTTAAACGTTGTTAATGCTATTTATTTAATTATAAAGTTATTCCAGCAAGAAAACATTAACACCAAAATCAAATTGGACATAGAAGAGTGTTGGGCCAAGGAAGTTTTGAGTACACCAAGTAAAGAGGCAAATGAATACCATTATGTTCTGCCAATGTTTCCTTACCCATCAGGCAATTTGCACATGGGTCATGTTCGAGTGTACTCTATATCAGATACAATTGCTAGAATCCAAAAACTTAGTGGTAAAAATGTAATACACCCAATTGGGTGGGATGCATTTGGGCTGCCAGCTGAAAATGCAGCCTTAGAGCGTAAAATTCAACCTGACAAATGGACTAAAGCAAATATTAACTCTATGAAGGAGCAACTGCTTAAATTGGGTTATGAATTTGATTGGGACAGAGAGTTTTCTACTTGCGATCCAAAGTATTATAAGTGGACACAATTTATTTTCCTTAAACTATTTGAAAAACGTCTAGCATATCAGAGTAAGGTAAACTTGATCAGTTGCACACATTATTGTTTTATTGTATTTCCTTGAAATTTATAAGAAAAGTATTTTTATTTTTCAGGCTGAGGTCAATTGGGATCCTGTAGATAAAACAGTGTTAGCTGATGAACAAGTAGACGATCTTGGTTGCTCGTGGAGATCAGGTGCCAAAGTTGAGAAGAAAAGACTCACCCAATGGTTCATTAAAACAACTAAATTTGCTAAACAGTTGTATTACGGACTCAAGAGTGAGAATCTTGAAAATTGGGGAGACATTGTAAACCTACAACAACATTGGATAGGAGAATGTAATGGAATTGTAGTTACATTTTCAATTATAATAAATGATACAGTTAAATACTTTGATGTGTGGACATCACAACCATACAAATTTATACATGGAAAGTTTATAACAATGAGCAAAGGTAATATTATTGTAGAAGATCTGCCTGATACAGCAAATAACCTGGTTTGTTATAATCCAATCAGTGATATGACTATTCCTGTTTATATTACTGATGATGTACAATATCCAGAAGGACGAGATATTTACTTAGCTTCACCTCAATGGGATGAAAATGATTCAGACTTATCAAGAAGATTGGGTGTGCCAGTTATTAAGGATGCCAATAAAATAAATGTAGAAGCTGAAAATATAATAGCTACTGAAATAGCGCACAAGAAAAATGTTGGAGGTCATGCTGTTAGTTCGAAGCTTAAAGATTGGCTCATATCTAGGCAAAGATATTGGGGAACACCTATACCAATAATACACTGTAGTAATTGTGGAACTGTTCCTGTACCACATGAAGAATTGCCAGTTACATTGCCTGAAATAAATTCATTAACATTGGGTATACAAACTCTGGCACAAACAGAAGAATGGATTAATTGTAAATGTCCAAAGTGCAAGTCTGATGCAAAAAGGGAAACTGATACCATGGACACATTTGTTGATTCCTCATGGTATTACTACAGGTTTTTGGATCCTCATAACGAAAAAATGCCTTTTGACAAGGATAAACTAGTTGGGAGAACTCCAGTCAACATTTACATTGGAGGAAAGGAACATGCAGTTCTTCATTTATATTATGCTCGTTTTATGAGCTACTTTTTGAACTCTTTGGGGTGGACACCAACTGAAGAACCATTTAAAAAATTAGTAGTACAGGGAATGGTTATGGGACAATCTTACAAAGTTAAATCATCTGGAAAATATATCCCTGCTGGCAATGTAGAGAAAATAGGTAAAAATTACAAAGAAAAGGAAACAGGTGAACAAGTTTCTGTGCAGTGGGAGAAAATGAGTAAATCTAAACACAATGGAGAGAATCCTGAAAAATTATTGGCCACTTATGGATGTGACACTGTTAGATTGCTTATGCTTGCAGATGTGCCTCCAGCTACAAGCAGGCATTGGTCTGATGCTAGTGAGTATTTACGTTTGTGCCCAAATAATTGAACACAAATGTGTTCACTCTAATATTATATTTTCTTTGAATTTCAGCTCTACCAGGTGTGGTAAACTGGCAACATCGCCTATGGCTTACAATGAGAGAGTTTTTAACACATAGGAACGATGATTCATTGCAAACAAAGAAACTTCCTACAGAGTTATTAAATAGATATGAACAAAAACTATGGGATTCTAAGAATTACTTTATTGCAACAGCAACATACCATTTTAAACATACCCATAAACTTAGTGTAGGCATTTCAAGACTACAAGCATTGACCAGTGCTTTAAGGGTAAGGAATACTTAAAAAACATCTGTTTTTTTATCTTATCACCATCAATTCCACTTAGGTAGCAACATAGTGGTTTTAATACTTGTTAATGCAATATTATCTCTTTTTTACAGAACAAAGTGCCACCAAAAATAATAGCTACAAGCACTGAATTTGAGCAGGCTTTAGCGTATCTCATTATAATGCTATCACCTGTGACACCACACTTCAGCTCGGAGCTATGGGCAGGTTTCGTGTCTGCCCCTCACAGAATAACGTCACAATTTGATTGGGATAAAGGTGTACTTGAACAGTCTTGGCCTACTGTGGATGATAATTTTAAGTTATCATTCCAATGCAAAGTAAGTTATCGCTATTACCAATGGTCGGGTGTTCCAAATGAGTAAATAAATGTCATACACGTACATTACATACATGACGTGACATGGAGTAGTTAAAACTACCAAATATTAATTAATTACGTTTTTCGAATTTTAAATTTCTGGAAATACTTTTATTACATCTTAGGATAAAACTATTCATCTACAAAGTTGAAGTTGAATTTTAAAGTAATTCTAGTGGCATCGTATATATAAATTCAGTAGATAACTAACCTGTCACCAAAGTAAATATTTTTAATAAGCTACAAACAATAGCTTGTTTTAACTAAAGCGGATATTGTTGATACTTTTATATTCACGGAATGCATACCCCTTATTGATGATACCCACCCTTATTGATGATGGAATTCGAAAAAAATAGTTAATTTGATATTTACAAATATTTATTGACAATGAAAAGTCAGGTGAAGGCAGTGACAGAAGAATAAATGAAGATTTACTTCCAGCAATGTGGCATTATTGTTTGGTGGTTTTATCCACTGTATGCCACTCATCTATATATAAACATTTATTTTTATTTATCTACTTGTTTGAAACACCCTACTCCGACTATTGGCTATCATATAATAATAATAATAACGCACACACTCAACATAGCCCCGCACTAGGAAAATCCTGTGTCGCGGGTGCTATGGACACACACATAGTCAACCACAAATTACACCAAACTCACGAGAGAAATAAATGTAGGCCATATAAATATTTCTCCCGGCCCGGGAATCGAACCTGGGACCTCTGCGTAGCAGTTCGGCATGGTAACCGTTCGGCCATGGAGGCAGTCAATATCACTTATGTATGTGAGTATACCCCACTTACTTATAAATTTATAATTTTGCAGGTTGATGGTGCAGACAGATGTGATCTTAAAATAAAATCTATTGAGTTGGAAAGTCTGAAGGAAGAAGATGCTCTCCATATGGTACTAAAAGATAAATCCGTCGCCAAATGGGTAGCTACAGGCATCGCACGAACTCAATACAGCGTTTACCCTGGCTGCAGAGCTATATTACAAATATTTACTAACAGGCATCTAAAAAAACCAAAATCGCAACAGCTAGAAGACGCTGTTAAACAAACGTAATGTTATTATTGTTCGATTTTAATTAATGTTTTATTATGATGTAAATAAATAGTGAATCAACTTTATTTGTGAATACTGTCGGTACTATTACGCTAATACTTTTACAAAACTAGGCATTTTTACCACACCAAATAAGTGCCAAACTTCTTTGTCCTCATTTAAACATCACTGAATTACACCTGCCGAAAATTCGGCGTCGTATTTAAAATTATAGTTTCCCGGCACCGAGTATATAACCCCCGGCGTCCATTATTCCAGTGTGACCATGCTCGAGTTTTTTTTTTTTTTTAGCCGTGAAAAAAGTGGCCATTTTGTTGTTGAGTTCAACGTGTCCATCAGGATGGCTGGACCAAACGAGATATATAAATTAAACTGTGCTCATTATTTACTACCTATCTTCTATTATTTAGTAACTTTATTGACATATTTTCTATTGCCTATGCGTTGACAGAAATATTAAAGAAAGCTACTCACCTACCTAATCCATATACCACATCCTTTTTCATTCAAATTCTGTACCTTTTCTTTGTCCCCTTATTTGAGTGGCTAAATGCAAAGGCAAAGCCATAAAAATAAAGTATTATAATATTATTTTTTAAGTTTCTAGCTTCTCTAATTTTGCCAATATCAAGTAAAAATAAAGATACCTATGAAAAAGGTAATTTCAATTTGACATTGACGAACTTATTTCTTTCTGTATGTCAAATAAAGCTGGGTTATAACGTCTTATCGAAAAACGAATCGAAACGGTTATTTTCTAAAAAGAAACGCTTCCCAGAAACAGTTACAAAAAACGCTAAAAAAAACTGGTTGACGAAATGTTCAGGCGTATTGTGGGCGGTAAAACTGTTTTTTTTAGCTTATGTTATGTTGTTTGAAAAAACAAATATACGCGATTTAAATCCGGAAAAACAGTTTCATTTCCTTTGTTTTAACTTAATTTTATAAACCTAAGTTAATACAATAAAGTATTTTATTCTGTAAAGCATAATTGGAACGTATCACGAACAAATGAATTGTTTTCTATCCAGTCGCACACACAGAAGTAACGTAAAATGTTGCAGAAGCGGGGGCTACTCTCGATCTCCGTCCGAAATCCGTCCGAACAATTACTGTCAAATAAGTAATATTCGACAAAATTAAAAGACAAGTATCCAGTATGAAGCTTCATTCCCATCACGCGTCTTTTCATTTGGTCAAGAATTGTTTATTTGGCAGTAATTGTTTCGGACGGAGACATAGAGTATTATACTGGCCTAGACGGAGATCGAGAGTAGACAGAACGTAACACCATTGACAAATAACTACATACATATTTATCTTGCAGTGCGAGTCCGTTTCGTATTCTTAAAATGTCGTTTCTATAGTAACCGTTTCTGAAACCTACATGAAAGCGCTTTTTCGTTACATTGAAAGAAAATGTTTCTTAAAAAGCTTTCGGAAAATAACGCTTAGTCCTAATGTCAAATTGTCAAACTTGATTTGTAACCACAAATCTACCAAACAAAATAAATGTTTATAAAATTTATTTTTATTATGATTTGTCCATGATTATATAATTATGTGATTTAATAAAAAATAAAGATTATAGTGAATATAATGGCATAGTCAGAAACTATAAGACGTAAACAGTTTAGTCACTTTTCGCATAACTTTCTCTGAATCCTTTAATTACACTTACAATCCGAGTTAGCTATAAATTCTGCTTAATTCCACAAAAATCAGTTTCTAAACAGCTTTGAAGACATGTTATTTTAAAGTGTTGAAATTTTAAGGATCACAGTTTCTAATTTAAGCTGTACCAATCTTCTAAATCAAACTTTGGAAACGTAAATATACTTTTACTAATTAAAATCGTCGAAATGCAAGCAAAGAAGCGTTATATACTTCTCATATTATCATGTGCATTCCTGGTGTATTGTTACTATGGAGGTTATCACCTGAAGACAGATTTATCACATCGTAGTCGTAGAGACCAGTTGCCGTCATATGCGACATTAGAAGAGTTATCAGAAATTGACATGCCGATGCAGCTACAAAGACAACCACAAGGGATTAAGAAACCGTGCCGCATGGAAACGTGTTTTGATTTCTCTAAATGTGGAAATGACCCTAAAATATATGTATATCCTACTGATGGTGCAGTGAGTCCATCATATAGAAAAGTTCTGTCTGTAATAAGAGAGTCCAGGTATGCTACCAGGGATCCCAATGAGGCTTGTCTCTTTGTACCTGCAGTAGACACATTAGATGCTGATCCTCTGTCACCAGAACATGTACCTGATGTAGGATCACGCTTATCTAGATTACCTCATTGGAAGAATGGGCGCAACCATTTAATTTTCAATTTGTATGCTGGAACATGGCCTGATTATGCTGAAGAAGCATTAGGATTTGATCCTGGGGAAGCAATTCTAGCAAGGGCTAGTGCATCTGACACTATATTCCGTGATGGTTTTGATGTGTCCCTTCCGCTGTTCCACAAAGAACACCCAGAAAGAGGTGGAGTGCCACCAGCTGCCACTTCTAATCCTTTTCCTGCCCCAAGGAAGCATTTGTTAGCTTTCAAGGGAAAACGCTATGTGCATGGTATAGGCAGTGAAACAAGAAACTCCCTCTGGCATTTGCATGATGCCAACAATCTTATTTTGGTCACAACTTGTAAGCATGGCAAATCTTGGAAAGATTTAAGAGATGAGAGGTGTGATGAGGACAACAGGGAATATGACAAGTAAGTGGAAATTACAACAACTGACTTTTGAGTTGCAAGAGACGTATCTCCCCAGTAAACAAATAAAACTGTGGTGGTTGGAACAAATTGTATGGATAGACTTTGGAGACTGATAGAAAGAATTAATTACAGCATAGTATAGTCACCTAGTCTGAATAGAGCGTTCTAAATGAATACATAAATTTCTGTGTAAGTATGGACAGGAGGAGTGACAAGAATCATCATAAGATAAAAGTAAAGTACACCTAGAAAGCTGAAGATAGATTTTGAAATAATTCTAGTGTTTACATGGCACCATGGAAACGGATTAGACAACTAACTCTTCGCCAAAGTAAACTGTTTTTAATAAGCTGCAGGCAATAGCTTGTTTTAAGTGAAGCAATTTAGTGAAACATTTCCAGAAACCCGTAATTCGAAAATAGTAATTAATTAATATTTGGTGGTTTCAACCACTCATTGTCACTCCTTATATCTATATGCAGACATTTATCTACTCATTTAGAACGCCCTATACCGATTCTTTAACAGCGGCTGTCACATTTGTGTTAGCTAACATGAACCATCCCAATGTATTATATGTCATATGTATATTTTATATTGTGTGTAAATAAAGTCATATAGTTATTTATAAATTTTGATCAGCATATCTTTTTTATTTGTCATGTTACGCACCCCTGTTATTTATTCCGTACTCAGCCCTCCTGTTGACTGATAGAGAATGCCTTATAGCATTAAGTCTGCCACTTGTACTACTTTAAGGGAGAAGGGGGCTATATATGGACGCTCCCTAAATGAAACATACTGCTTTTACATTGTTATTATATTTCAGATTTGATTATGAGCAGTTGTTGGCAAATTCAACATTTTGCCTAGTCGCGCGTGGTAGACGCCTCGGTTCTTACCGTTTCTTGGAGGCATTGGCAGCAGGATGCGTGCCGGTATTGCTGAGCAATGGATGGCGCTTACCTTTCGACGAACGCATTGATTGGCGACGCGCGGTTATCTGGGCAGATGAACGTTTGTTACTACAGGTAAATAAAAATTGAATCAGTGCACTTACTACGTTTTCCAGGACGTCTTCATGCATCATAGTACTTTACTTGGTACTTGGTACTTGATGTAACAGTGGTGGGTGCAGGGTCCTACTTGTGCCACCCAAGCTCCTCCAGGAATCTCAGCAGCCTCGTCAGTTTGCGGAAGACTTCGGGGAGCGACCTTGGCACTCCAAGGTACTTTGCCCTGCAGTTGGCCACGCCGGAGCACTGTAGTAGGATGTGCGCAGCCGTTTCCTCCCCCTCCATGTACGCTCTGCATATAAGGCTGTCTGTGACACCTAAATTGAAAAGGTGTTTATGATATGGACCATGACCCGTTAGGGCGGCAGTTAGAGTGCGAAGCTCTTGCCTTTTGAGTTTAATTAATATTCGAGATAGACTTGCATTGAGCGTTGGGAGTGCTTCCCTTACCTGTCTACAAACCGTAAGGGTAGTCCATGTATTATTATGTGAAAATTTTGTACCTTTGTGTATAGTTGTTCTGAACCATTGTTAGGGGAGGGACACTATGGGTTCTGGTCTTACAGTGTCTGTCTCCGACCCTTTTCTGGCTAGTTCATCTGCTGCATCATTGCCACATGAGCCGCTGTGTCCTTTAATCCATTGTAGAGTTACGTGGTTTTGTATACATACCTCCATGAGTGCTTGATGGCATTCATAAATGAGCCCTGAGATTATGTCATAGCTGTTCAGTGCTTGTAGTACTGACATACTGTAGGAGAGTATTCGAATGGAGTGATTCTTTACTCTTCTCGCTGTGATTGCTTCTGCCGCCAACTTGATGCCCATGCATTCAGCCTGGAATACTGTGTTGTGGTCACCAAGAGGTGTTGATATCCTCATATTGAGGTCTTCTGAGAATACCCCAGTACCTGTTCCTGAATTTGTTTTAGATCCATCAGTGAAGACGCGGCCCTGTCTGGGGTTCAGTCCTTCGTTGGGTTCTTCAAACATTCGTATCTTGTATTTTTTGTCACAGATGTATTGTTCTGGGATCCTATCCACAGCCGCCTCCAGTACTGGTTCCTCATTGACAGTTTTATAGAGGATTTCTGTGAGTGGGGTCCTCATGTGCTTCCAAAGGCCGGCCCTGTTTAGACGCACTGCTGCTGACGCCGCGTCCTGTCTGATGAACAGTGGGAGGGGGTCGCATCGCTTAGAGGGCCGCAGTTGGAGTTGTCCTCATGCAGCCGGTCGTCGCCATGCAAGCGAGTCTTTGGAATTTGTCCAGCTTGTCGGTTGCGGTCTTCAGTTTGATCCGTGGCCACCATATTATCGCGCCGTAACTGACCATGGGCCTTATCACCGCTGTTAGGTGAAAGTCCCCATTCCCCAGTCCCCACCATTCTATGGCATTGCCAGAAGGTGATAGTAGCTTTTTTAATTTTGTTGTCCAGATGCTTGTTGCACTGTTGCAACAGTTGAACTGTTGTCCAGTATTACCCCAGGTACTTGACTTCGGTTGATAACTATAGTTATCCTGTCCTAAATGCATCAAAGTAGTATTTAAAATTTTGACACTAAACTAGATTTTTGAATATTCTAATGTTATCAAATATCACAGTACTGAACATTTTGTTTACAGGTTCCAGAGTTAGTACGCTCAGTATCACCTGAACGAGTATTAGCTCTGAGACAACAGACCCAATTTTTGTGGGAACAGTATTTCTCTTCCATAGAAAAAATTGTTTTCACTACTATTGAGGTGAGTGACAAATATTACTTATATAAAAATATTCTTTTTCTTCTTTCATTTGTTTGTATTAAAACTTGTTTACTTTTTTTTTATTCAGTTGCTTCTGGAACGAGTTTTAGCGCATAGGACGTCGAGGCAACGAGAAGCGCTCATCTGGAATGCATATCCCGGAGCTTTAGGATCATTAGCATCATACGGAGACTCGCGTGCTCACTTGCCTATTGCGGCTCCAGTTTTGTCTCCACCTCCAGGTCCATCCGTATCCCCCGCACCCCTTCCCGCGCCTTCTATTCCTCTAGACTCCCTTCCAACCACACCTGGAAATACCTTCACTGCTCTTCTTTACGTTCAAGCCACGTCACCAGCGCTACATAAACTACTTGCTAATATAGCTAGTAGCGAATTTTGTGAGAAGGTAAACATCATTTCTACCAAAAATATTTGCATCTAATCATCCAGATCCATATTTTCACTTTCTATCGGGTGATTTTTTTTTCAATATCAAGTGACGAGACGAACAACTCATGCGCCTGATGGTAAACTACACGCTTGCCTATAACAGCCGCAGTGCCACTCAGAGCTTTAAATCGCAAAGATCTGTGGGGGACTGCCACTGCGGCTGCCACTCCGAGACATAAGTTGACAAGTCCCATGTGCCTGTAATTTCACCAGCACCCTGCCCTACCTTACCCTTTAAAACCGGAACACAGTAACGCTGACATTACTTTTTGGCGGCAGAAATAGGTAAGTGGCTGTACTAGCCTGGACGAACTCTGTCACAAGGATCTCTACTGCTGCAATGGGATCACATTTGCCTACAATTTTTTTTAAAGGTTTTCAAAGGGTAGCTTCAAAACCTTAAAAAAATGTTACACAAACGTGAGCCTACTTTGAAAGATATAAAGAAAAATTAATAATACCTCACGACTTTTTTCATAATAACACTTAGGTACTTAATAACAAAATTAAATGCAGGTGGTTCTGGTATGGGATAGCGAGCGTGCGGCTCCATCGCTGAAGTCCCTCGCACGCGCCGCTGACGATCTTCGCGACCCCCTGCCCGTTCTGGTTATCGACGCTACAACTCATTATCCTGGGTATATTTTAAAGATTGTCACACAGTTTTTTTATTTCTTCTTTATAATATATACAGTACTAGATTTGTTACATATTTTAAACTCTTCATAATTTTTCTTTATATCTAAATTTTTCATAATTATAAATGACATACAGGCGACTTTTTATTTTAGAGAAGGGGTATCGGCACGTTGGCAGCCTCTATGGGCAGTGCCTACGGCTGCCGTATTTTCACTGGACGGCGACGCACCCTTGCTAGCGGAGGAACTTGACTTCGCATTTCGAGTTTGGCAACAATTCCCAGAACGAATCGTTGGATATCCTGCGAGAACACACTTTTGGGATGAAGCTAAGGTGCGTATTAGAAGGTGTGCCCAGTTCTGCAACGTGAAAGTGTCTCTCGGTTTGACCAAGACTTGTTAAACTTGGAAATTGCATGTCCAAGTTATATCCATCCTTAATGTTTACAGGTCTCTATAATTTTTTTTTATAAAAAATAAGCGCTTATTTGACCTCCATCTCAGCTGATGGAAAGTGGTGATGCCAATGATATTATACTTTATGCTGACTGGATAATGCGGTCAATGATGGAGCATGGATCCGTAAATAATGCCTATTCACTGTATGCCTTGAAAAGGCACAAATTATAGTGTTTAGGGAATATGTGTGCAGGCAGGGAATTCCACACCATGTCTGTTCGCCATATGAAAGTAGAAGCGTATATTCTTAGTATTCTATAATAATATAAGTGTTCTATAATTCTATAATAATGCGCGCACGCTCATTGCCCCGCACTAGTGAAACTCTGTATCGCTGGTGCCTCGGATACACATAGACAACCACAAATTAAACTCAAACTCATGAGAGAAATAAATGTAGGCCATACAAATATTTCTCTCGGCCCGGGGAATCGAACCCAGGACCTCTGCGTGGCAATCCAGTGTGGTACCGTTCGGCAGTTCTCTCTTTCAATGAATGAAATTTACTTTGTTAACTTTGTTACCACATCAAAACGAATATTACACAGGGCGCATGGGGCTACAGTAGCAAATGGGGCGGGTCGTACTCGATGGTGCTGCCCGGTGCAGCGCTAGTTCATCGAGCGACCCTAGCGTTGTACGGAGCGTCAGCCCCTGCGCTGCGGCAGGCCGTTCGCCGTGCGCACAACTGCGAAGATATCCTGCTTAACTGCCTCGTGGCTCATCTTACCCGTCGTCCACCGCTCAAACTGGCACAGCGTAGACGATATAAGGCACAGCACCACCGATATAGGTATGAAACAATGGAATCCAGCTATATTATATCGTACAGTTTTATCCCATTATAATACATCGGTGACCTCTAATATAAATTGCACAGTAATGTCAACGACGCGCTGTCAAATTAGTTTGGTTATCGCCGGTGTGACATGTGTGAAGCTCTTTTTTAACCGACTTCAAAAAAAAGAAGGAGGTTCTCAAATCGACTTCTTTTTTTTGTATGTAGTTACGCCATACCTTCGGCATTTGTGAATAAAAATTTTTGGAAAGAGGGTACCTCTGTAGTGGTCCCATTTAAATTTGAAAAAATATTCCACCTCTAAGAGTAGCCGATTTCAATAAAACTTGTAATTCCACGAACTTTTACTGTCGATTTTTCTTTGAACTGAGATTATTGAAGTTTCGGATGATTTTACTTATTTAATCATTTTTATGTCCTAATTTGTATTCAGATCGTCCTGGAGTGACCCGGAGCACTTCGTCCAGCGACAGTCTTGTCTGAACACATTCGCCACAGCTTGGGGCTACATGCCGCTCATGCGATCCATCCTCAGACTCGATCCCATACTCTTCAAGGACCCTGTCTCCACTCTCCGAAAGAAATATAGAAAAATGGAATTGGTCACTACATAAATCCATTTTTCGTTCATACTCATAAGTACATATCGTAGTTGAGCATTGTTTACGTTATCACTTAGTTAAAAATCTAAGTATAGCTTTAGGACAAGCAATACCAAATATTACTTTGTAAGTTCCAATGTTGTTATTAATTTTAAGGCATTTTAGTCAAAAATAAATGTCGTTTTATTTAATTTTCGTTTTCATTCATTGCTTCATAATACGTGAATAATTTCAATGAACATATCAGTTACGCTCTTTCATCTCGTTCCACGTGTGATGTTGAAAACCGAACTAAATTAGTTACAGCGTAAGTTCTTAACTAACGTCGAATTGTATGTTACATATTAAATGATATGAGGCAAATTGCATTTTTAAGTATGATATTCGGACATCGAACTGCATTGAATTGGTAACCGTTGCATAAGTGGAACGCAGACTGACATAACGATGGCTTCGCAACAGCCGCGCGGCCTTGGCCCCGATGGTACGGGGGCGCGCTTGATGGCAACCGCCGTCGCCCCTCCGCAGTCGCCCGCAGCGGACAGCCGCTCCCGAATACACACTGCTTCACAGTACAACGGCAACTCGGCGCGCGGCTGCTGCGCCCGCGCACCTTACTATCACTCGCGAACTCGTGTTCCTCTAGGTAAACAAACCTATTTCAATTATGTGTTTAAGCAATTTTCGCGTAAATCTGAATGCAATAGTGAATACATTAGCACATTGCCTCTATGATTAATAAGTTGCAATATTTTCCTATGGAGCTTTTTCGTGTCAATGTGTGATCTAGGACTCATAAAGTCAATTAAGCTTTACGACGGCCTAAGGTTTTCCGGGAGCTAAAGTTGCCAGTGAAAGTTTCATTGTAGAGACTAGTTATTGGGTAAGAACGACATGTCCAGGAAAGATTAGATAGTGCATTTAACGTGTTTTCCGTTTGGAATGTGCTTACTTAACGTGTTATGCACTAAAGTGCACTGACAGGTTGAGTGATAAAACTGATAAATTTAAAAACCAATGATCTACGTCACTATTTTTATTTTGTTAGGTACGTGTTTCAAAATTATTAGTATATAGTTTCTGCAAGGCTACGTGCGACCATCAAAGTTATCAACTTTTAAACAACCTCTCACTCGTAATTAACTTCTACATATCGACACACTGGAATGGTAAAACGTCTAACGTGCATTTGGAAAAAAGAAAAACAAATCAAAACTCTAATTTTATTTGTTATATGGAAAACTAGACAGTTTCAGCTTATTCATATAACAAATAAAATTAGTGTTATGATTTTTTTTCTTGAAATAATTACTTTAAATCACTCTCCTGTAATATACTCCAAATGCACGTTAGATGTTTCGAGTCGATATACCCCTGCACAAATTTAATCCGAAATTTTATGTTTATGTGCAAATAGTCATACAAAATTATAAACGGTTGTTGCAGACGAATATTAAAGTCAATAAATTTCGTAAGAGAATAACTCCTCAGTTATTTCCACACGCTTGTATGTGACCTCTTATTTCGCGGTAGTCGTTGAGCGAAGATTGTACGTTCTTCAATGCGGTAAACCTCAATAAGTAAATTGCAAAGAGACTATTAGTTTTTGCCAGCTTAATTAATTGAAAAATAGACATAGTAATATTAGAAAAGCCGAAAGCGCTAAAATTTAATACCAAATCATTCATTGCATATTTACGTTTGTAGCAATTCAGGGACGTATTTCACTTACATGTAAGGAACTTTTGTTAGTTACGTAAATTGTACCTTCTTAGACGAGACCTGTGCTGAGCAATGAGACAGACTTATATAGGTTGATATACTAAAGTGTAGGTATTATTATTCTATATTCATAATATATACAGGTAAGATACAATAAAAACTTAAATACTGGAAAGTGAAACTAGGATTAAATTATATGAATAAATCCCAGCGGCAAGGTGCCCAAGATGATGGCAGCGTACAGCATTCGTATGGCTATGCTAATGCGTTGGGTAAGGTAGCTGCCGGCCCTTGGGTTTCCAAGACAGTCTATTAATTTTTTGAATAAAATTTTGTACTGATGATGGGCACCGGGACCCCACGGGCCAAGGGCACCGGGACCCCGCGGGAAAACTAAGGTTACATATAAGTTTAGATTTATTAAAATTTTCTGTCATATTAATCATACAAAACGCTAAACTACGCGTTTTCGTTAAATAAGTAACTAACCATAGTCTTTAGACTACTATAAACCTTTAATATTTTTTAAGTATTTTATAATTTTGATTAAAGAATGCAACTAGATATTAGTGAACGTTCTACTCTATATTCATATTTAAGAAGGTTAATTACAGTTGCCTTTTCTATGTACTTGTGAAATAAAAACACATTTCGCACTTGACAACTAACATAGTATTATCTCAAAATTGCGTTACATTAATAATTTATCTCCAAAATTTCGCTGTATTTGTAGGTCATTCGTATACGATTTATTATTATATATATTTCAAAGTGTCAGGACAAAACTGTCGCTTTGAAATGAAATAGGTAATATTAATATAATTAAAGCAATTTTGGGATAATACTATGTTAGTTGTCATGTGCGATTTAAAAACGGACATTACACTAACGATTGAAAACAATACAGTGATACCAGTCTTAACGTATGGATGGCTGTCAGCCCTATAGATATTGTGCTACGTAACAAACAATAGGCAGTTAGCAAAGAATAACTAACAAAGAGCCACCGAAATAAAAAACGATTACACACGAGTAGATGCCATTGAAGTGAAAACCATAATTAGTTAAGTAATTGATGTAATTTATAAATATGGCATTAGAAATGAGATTCCACAGATATGAATCATTTAACGTTGACGTCACAGTTTAATTCAAAATAAAGAAGTTAAAAAACTGTGCACCAGGCATAATTATAAACATTGAGTTCGAGAATAACGACTATCCGAAATGTTGCAGACAGGTAGGTACCTAGATGACAAATCTGTTCAAATCAGAATGGTATCAGAACATATTTTATATGTACCTTTAATAAAAATATATCTCCATAAATAAATAGACTAAGTGCGTAGGCATTATGTATGTATGCAATCATCTTTTTTAGTTAGGTATCTATTGAGTTTTCTCCATTATAAAAGTCTCATTTGTTTCTTTTGTTTCTACAACCTAATCGACAATTGCAGCAACTAGGAAATCGGTGATCCTACTTTCGAGATGCACTTTCTATATATGTATAGCAAATATAACAACTCTTTACATGTGAGAGAAAACTTATTGGATCGAAATTTCGTTTCTATTGACAAAGACGTACAGTCGTTACTGAACTACGGAACTTTACGGATATTTAGTTTGTAGGAAACCAACGTGCCTTGGAAACCTTAACTTATGCTTCAATAAATTTTTGAACCATGTTAAACGTTACGAGTTAATTACTCTACATAATTATTCATATCGCCTTGTCGCTGCTAATTCGCTAAGAACGTTCTTTTTAAATACTAAATCAACGAATCAACGATTTAGTTAATAGGTAGGATTGTTTCGGCAGTGTACAAAATATTCAGGTTATTTTAGGTACCTTTTTTATTGTTTAGAAAATCCTATTCTGTGCGAACAAGTAATATCGTTGGTAAAAGTGTTACGCACTGCCCTCGTTGATGTCTTACATATGACGCTTGAGTTCAACTGTTATCAAAGCATTCAAGGTGTGTAATGTGTGTGTTACGGCATTGTGTACAATCATTTACAGAGAGTAATCATAACAAATTCGTATTGTGATTGTATTATTACATTTATTGCCTATAATGTCATTTTGATGATTTTCAAAATAGGTTTGGTATGGACTGGGAAATGAAGAGAAATAACTTGGTACGTTATTTATTTGTATAGACGTATAAGTACAAAATAATGCATCGTCTACTGTGTTGCGGATTGTTATGTGGTTAACGCGATAGTTCATAAGAAAAACCCGTTGTGCTCCTACTTTTGGGCATTGCTCACCCACACTATGTTGATTATGGTAACCAATATCCATGTAAGACACCATATTTCATATCACGATCTAAAATCAGGTATTACGTAAATATATTCTCTTAATTTGGAATTGTCACCAGTTAACGGTGTACGCAAAAATCGCATAAAATTAATTGTTGCACAACGGTTCGAGGTAGATCAGAGGTGCGAACTTCGAAGAGGCGGAATGGCGCAAGGTTCCCGGGGCGTCGTCACTGGGCTGGCCGCGCTACTCGCTGTCGCTATTGCCGCACAACATCTTACAGCGCACGCGCAAACAGTGAGTATAGATGAGCGTATAAAAACTTCGTATTTGGTAAGTAGGTACCTACATATATTATTCAGTATCAGCTAAGACAAAGAAACATTAAAAATATTTTTAAATCTTGTGTCAGAAGTTGAATATTATTTGCTACAATTTAATCATAAATACTTTTTTGCGCATCTCATAATCGCCAATTAAGAAGTTGGTACCTTTTGGAATCAAACACACATAGGTTCCAATTACGTGTTAGTCTTAGGGTACGAAATTTCGTATGCAAGGCTTACCAACTTGCGAAGGCTGAGCAACTACAGCACCTCAATTTTATCGGATTAACTTACAATTACTCATTGTAAGGTTTTGGCGCCTTTTGCTATTTCGCAAGGCTAGACGCTTCAAAAGTTTGTTTATTTCATTTGCAAACTTAATATGACTCGACTGTGCAGTGAGTCAATCTTTATGTGAATTTAGAAGATCTTAAAATTAAGTAGATAACTACCCTAACACATCACATCACACACAACACAACCTACATTGCGGGACCCTCGAATTTGAAATCTTAACTACTTATATAGTAAGCATTGTCATTTTACAGCCAACCACAGCAGAAAAATCCATTGCTAAAGATCGAACTTTCCGACTATCTGCAGGCAGAAAAGAAGCTCAAGCCCCGAAATGGGGCTTCTTCGGAACGATATTCCATCTCATACTTGAGGTATTTATATATTTTTCTCTTTCTATATGATTTCTTTAGGTACGAATCCTACTCTATGTCACCTTAAAATTCATGTTTGTATTTCAGCAAATCAACGACACAAAGAGTGCATATAATCAAATATCTGATTTAGTTGGTAATCAATTCACCGATGATAATGTGAGTATGCCTGAAGCCTTAAGCGATGTCATTAAATTTTTATTACTATGTCCAAAAAATTCCCCGTTTTAAAGACAACAGTCAAAGATCTTGTCAATGGCTGGAACACTAACCGTGAGAAAACAAAAACTAACAAACTTATTAAAACAACGTATAATATTGATTGTAATGAATATTTTTTGTCAAATTACTCCATTTGTTTATTATAATTACTAATACAAAGACCGAACATAAAGAAAAATTCCTGCGACCCGACAGGACTCGAACCTGCGTCTGTGCCACACCAGGGCGACTGCTCTCCCAACGGAACTACAGATCGAGATACTAACAAAGATCTGTAACAAATGTAATTAGTAGCAGTAGATCTCGCTTCTGAAAACGTTCGTCCAGGAAAATACTGCTACCTTACATATTTCTGCCGCCAAAAATTAATGTTAGCATTACTGTATTCCGGTTGTAAAGGGTAAGGGTCTTATTAACTTATGTCTCAGGGCGACAGGCGCAGTGGCAGTTCCCTTCAGATCTTCGCGATTTGAAGCTCTGAGTGGCACCGCAAATGTTATGGACAGGCAGGTGTACCTTACCATCAGGCGCCTTGTTCGTACCGTCACAGCTTGATATTGTAAAAAAAAACTACATACAAAAACTCGTAAGGTCTGTTGACTCGATCTGTACATCAGTTGGTAGAGTCAGATTAGTGAATCCTGTCAGATCGAAGGAATTTTTCTTTGTGTTCGATCTTTATATTAAGTAATAATTAAAATAACTTAAGGCGTGTCACCAAAGGAGAAGCGGGAAAAACTGCTTTGCAAGATCCAATGGTTTAGGTATTTATTATTAAAATACATTGCATTTACTATTTAATAACGGTCTTACAAAAAATATACGATACCTACACCAATTTATGTGGTCTGTGGATACAGCTAAGGATATTTCATAAAGAATGTGCTATTTTTTACCCGATCACATAAATTCCCGAAAACAGCCTAAAATAAAAGTCGAAAACTAATTATTAATTATAAATTATCTCTAACATTGCACATGATTTTATGAGGAGATATTTCTCCATAACATGCTAAATTTTGGTTTTCAACTAAAGTCCTATAGTTAATAACTTCACAATTATCTCAAAACTTGAAAATTTGCCGGCGGTTTAACGACACACCGCTCCGCCCACTGCCCGTCAGTTACCATCGGGCGCTTGTCAACATTAGATCTATGCCAAATTTTGTCCGACTTTTTTATTGACCTATCAACAGCCTTTTCTTTTTTTATTCATAATTATTAATTTTAGGCGCGCGGAATGCGGGACACGAGGGGCGACCCCTCACACCTCACCTCGTAAAATCCAAGCTCGCATCCAAATACCTTGCCTTAGTTTTAACTACTTGATTGACTTTGGAACGTTCTTTTCGTAGGCACCATAGGCAAGAGTTTAGAAGTGTCAAGTTTACCTACACATGTAATCAACATTTTTTTTTAATAATTTTAGACTGTCACCCCAGAACCTAATCCATCGAACGATGGATCTACGGAAACACCAAAAATATCTAGACAAGAGTTTCTTAATATTCTAGATCGTAATCTAAAAGGCCTTGCTCGGCTCAGGGCATTAGAGTGGCGAGAAGCTCGAAAGGTAAGTTACTATATTGTGAAGCATTCATTTGTACATCAGATCAGGTTTTCTAACTACCTTAAGAAATTATCTGTGCGAACGGTACAAATATGAGTTGATACATAATTTATATTACAATTCAAAAATTCAACATCATTCTTTATTTCCAACCATGTCCATAGTGTGTTAGTTACAAGGACTTATAGGCTATGTTAGTATGAAAATAAAAACTATATTAAATTATAAACTAAGGCCCTGAAACCTAAGTGCACTGAAATCCAGTGATTCCAAATAGCACAAGCAGGGTAATCCCAAATTAAATTCACAAGGCTGTTGGAACCACCATACACACGGCGCTTCAGGGAGTTCTCTTGCACTGAAGCTGTCAGTATGCGCCTCCGCGAACATACCTGACGCCTCTAAGCCCGACGCGATGCAAAAACGTTGTAGTCCCAACAGCATTCTGAATTCATACAGGCTACACGTAAAAGGTCTGAAAAAAGAAACAATACATATTTGATTTAATTTACAGGACTCGTGGAAAAACTTACAAGGATATAAAGACGAATTGTTTGGAAGCAAAAGATCCGGAAGAAAAAGATAGTTTGAGCATTTTTTTCTTGGTGGTTGTAGTAATAGTGTTTGCCATTGCCAAAATAAATTATCTACTTACTTAATTTAATTGAATTTGTATTTGAGTGAATTAAGTTAATTAAATCAGTAGTCCTGTGAGTACTGAAGTACCTATATGTGAAATAATACATATTTCTTATTTTGTGTAATTTTTCGTTAGATAAATAGCAATATAACATAGACCGTTTCTAATACTAACCTACTGCCGCCGTCCTTATCATAAACAACGTAGTCGACCACTGAAGTAATTTGGAATGTGTAATCGACATTTTTAGCGACATTGAGTTATTAACATATCTGGAATCAACGAAACTATATCTACAACCCCCTACAAGCGGTTTTTTATATAATTCAATTTTATTGTTAAGCAAAATCAACGTAATTGACATTTATGAAATAGAAAAAAAAATTAAGTGGCAATATCTCGAAAGTTACCAAAATGCAAATGCTTTGTTTATGACAGGAAGGGCAGATTAGGTTTCATAATTAAAGTCGTTAAAGCCGTTGCAGAACCGATTTTTACGTATAATTATGGGATACTTCCAAGTCGGAGATTGCTTATGTTAGTGTAAATGCCTAAGACACATTTATACGCACCAATAGTGATCAATAATTATCCTTTATAGTATAACTAGCCGTACCCGGCGTATGCGTTGCAATGCCACTAGAAACGTATAAGTATATATAAGTAAATTTCCTCCCCACGTTCGATCAGCACTCGAGACTCGTCCCGAAGAAAAACGATCTAATACTTCCGAAACATTTGCCGGCGGGATGCCAAAAACTCACGAATGCAGCTTTGTCGCAATCGAATGACTAATGATACTACAAGCTGGACTCTCTCCTTGGAGGAGACCCGTGTCTGGCGGGGGATTTAATATTCAGAAACTTTTACGGGCGTGAGCAGAACAACTCATGAAAGTTTGATCGTTATCGGATGAATATAATGATTAGGTATATCTATGGATATTTGGTTGCAGCGTTTGGGTCCATCCAGTGGAGCGGGCGATCCAGCGCCGACGCGGTGTAGATGATTATTAGATTATATGACTATGTCATGACGTATGACATATTGATTTAAAGAATAATTCTTATGTTCTAGTGGTGTCATTTTTGTGTCGCGTGAAAATAAAATACGATATTTCACTCGCATTCCGCTTGGAAAAATGTCATTGTCGAATTACCTCTAATTTATTTTTACTAACTTTCTAAAAAATATTCCTTTTTTTAATATCAAGTGACGGGATGAGCAAGACATGCGCCTGTACATAACAGTTGCAGTGCCGCCATTCAGAGCTATCTGAGACACACTGAGACGTAAGTAGACAAATCCCATGTGCCTGTAATTTCCAGCACCCTTACCTTTCAAAACCGGTAATACTGATATTACTGCTTGGCGGCGGAAATAGGTAAGGTGGCAGCACTTCCTTAGACGAACTCTTTAACAAGGAACTCTACTGCTTTCAGTTCTATTACGTGTAACTCTATCGACTGAATAATTCAGCCTGAATAACAGTTTATGAAATGTCACGTAAAGTCATTTAAAATTTTCACATTCAATATATTAAATATATAAGGAATCACACTGTAACCTACTTTTATATCGAATTATTTCTTACAGGAAAAAATTGTTTTTAAGTGCCATTTTCCACTAAAGCGACTAGCCCGCCCGGGGCGCGCCCGCAGCTGCCGTTGTGGCTGGCTACTTTTACGTCCGAGTCGCGACCGCGTTCGCGGGTAGATATTGTATATGACTTAAGTATTTCCATAAATACAACCATATCTATGTACCCATTAGATTGAAGTCTTGGAATAAATAGGAAAAACAAATTCATAAATATCAATAAAAAAACAATATAAGGAACTTTCGTGGTTATTCACTAAATGATTATCACTAGTATCAGGTTTCT